GCCAAACCACCTACTTGAGTGATAAGATTGATAATTAGAAGGAAGTTTATTTTGCTTAAATTGATTGGTACATGTATATACCCATTCATATGTCTATGTAAGCCGTCATTGGTGTATGTCTCATTCCTTAAAAATATCAGTCCTTTCTTGGCCAATTACACACACCCATTTGGCAGATTGTTAAATGTCCTACTGTATCAATTTGTGTTACATGAGTATCATTTTGTATATGGACACTATTTTTTATTAAAAAAAAGGATTCAGAATTCTCATCAAGATAACAACTTGAAATGGTAAAATTCAAAAGCACTGTAGATAAACGTAGATTATCTTTACGCAATATATGTTAGCTCATTCAACCCTATTTTTCAACAATTTAATTCAGTATTTCTAGTCAATATTTGACTTTTTTATGATTCCGGAACCGAACAAAATGATATGAGGTTTCTTATACAGAAAGAATATCCTGTAATACTGCCTGTGAAGTACAGAAACTAGTGATATGTAATTTTCTGATGAGAAAACATAGGATAAATACTACAGTTATGTAATAGCTTTCAGTTACTCATAAAAATTAACTGGGATGTAGCGGAAATATTCAATGAAATGACTATGATGGTGAAATTTTTAAGTTAATAGGTTTAAGTAGATTCATTTTTGGACCGCTGCTGTAGTAAGTACTCTGATGGATTTCTTTTCTGTGAGAACCTTCAGTCATAAACAGAAACAACCAATTATTCACACGTGACGCTGATCACTGTGCTCGTTGAAGACCTCATCAAGGGTCTGCCATTTAGTTGGTATCCGATGGTTTATATGTCTAACATCAATCAGATCGTGATATTGCGATATCTTCCGATATCATTAGTGAGTACAATACAAGGTCGAACTCTACTAGTCATAACTTCTCTCCAGAACTCCGAGGATTACCTCTTAGAAGATATCACTAGTTAACATGTAATATTTACTGCTTTCTGATTGTCAGTTGTTGAATAGAATGTAAAACTACAAAGTTGACCAGATAAAAATCCCTATGATCACATTCATTGAAAATAAAATTTCTCCTTCTTTCCAAATTATTATCATTTGATATTCGACAATCGTCTGTCAAGTTTTTTTCTTCGACTAAATAATAACACAGCTTCATTTCTGTGTGACAAAAGGAATACATTGTTTATGTATGTACAGTATAAATCAATAACTGCTTCCTAATGCGTAATATATATATATATATATATATATATATATATATATCCTCATTGTTGTATTATTTTTCATTGTTTCTCAATGTTATAGAGAATTAAGTGTACTCGTTGAACCGAGAGAAACAGGTCAAGTTGAAATGCTTGTTTCCTATGTAGTAGGTCGATGTGGATGGAAACCAGCCTATGATATTCGTATTTTTAACAATGATGGAACAATGAAAGTAAGTTCTTTCTGTATTGTTGAAAATCAATTTGCATTTCAATAAAACTAATTAAAAAGATTATTATTCAATTAAATTTGAATCTATCCAAGTTGCAAGACCAAGTTTCTGCATCACTTACAATGTTTGATTTGTTTAATTTGACATAAATAATTTATTTTCTAACTACAACTTCATCCCGAATCGATTGAACAATCGATAATGTTCATTTGGAGCACATCCTTCCTCCCTCATTTATTAATTGGTTGTGACCAATTTGGTCTCGTGTCACTTCCCGGCTGCCCACACCGTGGAAAGGTGTTTCTTGAAGAACCTGAAAAGGAAGGTAGATTAGTGTTGGTCTTAGAAAATTGAGAGCATGACCGTCAATCACAAGGGACAACTGCTTGATTGCCGGTCACGCACGGCCTGTTTACGAAAGGCTTTTTGAGTATTAGCTCGGCTCTTAAAAGCTCTTAGTTGGCAGCCCTGACCGACGGAGACGGAAATCTAAAGGGTCAGGGTGAGGTGTGACATTTTCAGGGTCGACCTTTCCTAAGCCCTTCCTTCCTTGTGAGAAGGCAGCATCGCTGCTGATGTTGGTTTTCCGAAGGAAACACCTTACTGCTGTCTCATCCCCCTACAGTCAGCAGTACGACTACGCCCTCAGACCTTGAGTAGCTGCTTTTAGTCTCATTGTTCTCCAATCGACCTGCCTGGTATGGTAGGACCTAAAGGAGCATATGTTGCACCCAACAGAGTACGGTTGGGTCATGACGATAGACAAGCCCGACCACCACGTCAAGATAGCAGCTATGGTCACCTCATTCATTGTTTTAGCGACACAGTAAAACACCATCAAATTACTGTGAACAGTTCAAAAACTAGTTGACTTTTTAGAATTTAGTTTGAAGTAAAAACTCACTTCAGTAACATTGCTATTGTTCCTTTCAATTATTCTGCAGTTCACCGATTCCATACTAGGACAAAGCAGCTGTTCAGTGTTATCAGGTCTTCAATGGTATCCCGATTATAATCCATCTGTGACGAATTAAATCAGTCGATGATGGGTGAAATAAAACTTTTCGCAAAACGGTTATTTCATAAGATTCTACTTAGATTCATATGTAACAACCGAGAGCAATCAAAATTTTGCCCTAATTTTAAACAAAGGAATAATCTCAAACATTTACGGATAATAATATACTCTCCAGATAATTTGTTTCTCACAGTTGTCAAGGGGATATCAGTTAACGGTGAAAACTATTGTTATTTAATATAAGCGGTTTACAGCTTTTGTGTGGTCGCGTATGTAGAAGCTAGGGTTATTTATTTTGTAACTGTTCCACTCATCCAGTTCAAAAAGTTTTGTGGAGATTGGTTTAGTTTATAAGTTGTATCACTGATAAACTGATACCAGTTGAGTTACGTGTAAAAACTAGTAAGCACTGGACAACTATCTCGTCTTAGTGTTGAACTTCTAAGCTGTGCACACCGACTATCTCTATTGTATTGCATCTTGAGTAATTTATGATGCTCACGAAACAGCCACAATAAGTGTAATTAGCACCGTGATAATAAGCTTTTAGGTAATGTGAGCTACCTAAATGATGCAAAAGGTCTGTAGTTCAGTTGGTTTCATTTGGTGTTGTTGAGTTTTATGGGCTAGATAGTTCAACTTCAGAGCTTTCACTACTGTACAGGACAACATCATTAATGTCCATTTTACGTAGAAGTGAAAAATGGTCATTATAAAAACGAATTAATTTAAAACATGTTGAATTACTAAAAGGTTCACTACAAAATAAAGCAATCATGAATGATATTATTCAGAACGACCACGAACGTTTCACCGTCAATCTATCTACCTCAGAGAATTTCTAAACCTCTAATGTAAAATGTCATTTATATTAACAATTCTGTTTGATATATTATTGATTCAAAACGATGTATGTATTGCGTACAACTTGCCTACTGATTATTTTTAAAATCTTCATTAAAATGTTATTTTATGTTACAGATACATTCATTAATTTTTTTTTCTAACGTCTCTAATTAATTTTTTTAACATGAAACTGTTATTATCTTTTAGACATTTACTTAAATCAATATTTTGAAAAAGAAATTTATGTCAGAGACGCACAAATTTGATACACACTTTTCTGACTTGTATTTCTCTTTTTGAAGAGAATGTTTTTGTGACATGCTAGTCAAATTTAATATACTATTCTTACTTTTGCAATGATTGTTAACTGTTCAGAATGAAATAGAAAACTAAATTCCCAGTAACGACCGAGAATGAGGACAATTCGCTCTCATGCTCCAAATGCCCTTAGATGGTTATGCATACATAGCCATCTAACAAGGAAATTCTACTCATTACTTTCTTGTAGCATGGCGGGCATGTTATTTACAAAATTGGGAGGATAGAAAGCGAACGTCCAGCACTTAAATTAGGTTGGTGTGTACGGAAGATCCTTCTAGGAGAGTTGGAAAATCCTATCTCCAAACCAGTAGTGCACATAGGCTGTATAACCCCCTTGGAATTAGTTGTTCATGAATCTATTAGTGATCACCAACTACCATATGAAAGCATCTCCTGACTGTGTTTCACTTTCTGGTGGGTTAGAACTGTAGAGGTGTGGTCCCCGAAGAAAACCACCTGCTTTGGTTTAGGCATCTGGACATCATATAGATTAAAGAATTTATATAGCTCATAGATATTTTATGAACCATTTATACGAAGATTTGTGTGTTTAAACAAAATGAGTTAATCATTAACATTATCAATAGTACATAGTGTAGTGAACGAGATCAACTACTCATGAAAGTCATATGATTGTTATAAATTAATCGACAATGTTTCGTTGGAGGTAAATCTAGCAAGCATGTTACAAGAAGAGCAATACAGGAGTCACAGATTAGGATTGGAATGGAATCTAAATCACAGTATTTCATTTCTATTTTCGTTATTAGTTCCTAGATATGAAACATCCTATGTCTGTAAATTTCAAAATTAATAGATTTTAACAAAAAGCACACTTATAATCAATATAAAAATTAATCAAAATATCTACAACAATGTTTAAGGTTTCTCACGTAAGTGTGGACATCTACTCAAACTTCTGGGCCATTAGTTTTTCCCGTGCATTTATTGTCAGAAATGTTTCTCTGTTAGATTCTTAACTTAAGCAATTTCGTCTGCTAACCACATCCACACATTCAAAAGGTGCTTATAACCTTCTGAAGACCCACTTACTGGGATTCTCATAGCATATCATAAAGGTGACTCATATATTTCCTTCTTTCTCTGTTCTTCGGAGAAATGATAGTTTACAATCTTGAAATCTATGAAACAAATATTTTAGGTTGTAAAAGTTGATATCATGACGACCGAACTGATCGTAAACTCGTATAGGTGAATCTGAGTGGCAACTATTCACTTTTTATTGCATTGTAGCCCATAATTTACTATTCCATCACTAGAGTTTTCTAATTTCTTCAAAATTTGTTGTTGAAAATCTGTCGAAATTCATATTGTCTTAATAAACTGTAGCTGTAACGACACGAATTATTACATATCATAATATCCATGACACAGTTTCAAACCCTTGCATACTTTGATTGCTATGCATAAAATCAACAGATTATTTACTAACTGGCTGAAAAGTACAAAAGTACAAATATACTAATTCATAAATAATAATTTCATGTTTAATATTTTTAAATTATGTTATTTGTACAATTATTATTTTCAGATTGTTTATTATGGTATGGTACAACAAGCTACTGGTGAAGACTGGGAAACACGTTATATGACTTTATCGACTGCTCAACCTGGTGTAGGTGGTACAGTTCCACATTTAGGCATACAACGTGTACATTTTCGTCGAGAGTAAGTAGAGTTATTATTGGTTTTTTTTAATATAAAAAATAATTCTGGTGTAATCTGTGGTTTTTTTTGTTTAACATCACAGTATAATTGGTGTTTCTTATTTAGTTTTGATTTTTTTTTATCATGTTTTGAAAGTTGCATGATTTATTAACAATTATTTATTAACAATAATAGAAATTTACATTCATATCAATCATAATCATATTTCCTATCCTACGCATGCTAATATCGGTTTTTTCTATATAATCTTTTTTGTATCTTGCTTTTTAACTACTTATGAGTAGCCTAAAGTATTTTTCACAAACTTCGCGGTGCGTCTGCCTCGCTTCAATAGAAAGATCTAATCCGTGTGAGATTCTGATGGATACACTTTTAAAGTGATTTCATGATTATTGTACAACATACTCAAGGAGATGGTGATAATTTTATCCATAATATTATTTGGTTTAATTTTCAAAATTGAAAACCTTGGATTTATTTGCAGCGCTTCACTAAAACATTTGCAATTTTAGTTATCTTTCTTAGTAGATACCATTTTTTCGCTAACATATCGGATACTTTTGAAAATTTTAAACAAGAATAAATCCTGTCTCGCCAACAAAAGAAACAAATTAGATATTTCACACATAAATTTATCATTGGCATTTTTAGTATCGTTAACTTTATTGAATGAGAGAATTATCGGATAGTTACAACGTGGTTTCTAACGAAGAAAGAATAGTAATTCCAAGGAAAAATCTGAAACTTATTAGTTTGATAAAGATCACATAGCGATCCTGCGCACTATCTTTCATAGTGTTGTAAACACTCACTGCCGAGGGGCCCCATAGAAGTCTAAAACAGCAGCTATCTAGTGTTTCATGGTTTTCAAATGCACGCTGTCTAAAGTTAGCCTGTTATCAACACACTGTAAATTCAATTAAGTTTATAAAAAAATCCGTTCAGCTAAAATCTACGATTAGCGAGATTAAACATTCTGAAGCGGAAAAACTTGTTTCCTTTGCTAATGTACCGAAATAATTTTAAATTCATAATTAAATGTGTAATCGATATTGATATGAGTCTACTTCATAAGTCGAATCATCGGTCCTTTAAACGTAATCTGCTAGTAATGTTTATGGTTATTCCATTCTGTTGTTTATATAGCTTGCATTTTTAATCATCACATGTAAAATGTTTATTCTCATCTTCTCCTAGTGAGCTGTGTACTTAAGGCAATTTGACGATATCTTAAGTTTAGCATTTTAAAATCTCTGTAAAATGTAAGTTTCATAATGATCAGTAAGCAAAGCCATCCAAATACTTTTTTGTCATTAAGTCAAATCTTTGACATTTTATAGTGACGGCATGCATAACATAACTTTTATATTGCGTACAGCTCATGTTTTGTTACACAACTCTTGATAATTCGATTCATTATATATACATATATACATATATAGTCATTCTCCAGCAGTTCCTATATCACGCAATGCTATATCAGGCACAAGTGTAACAACAGGTTATGGTCCCGGTGGAATAGCATCAACAGCAGCATCGTCAGGACACCAAATCTGCGGTACCTCAGCTACAGGAAAAAATGCTCGATCATGCACTAAACTAGGTGCATTTAGACGATCTAATCGAACAACAGGAACGACTCTAAATGAAACCGATCGTGGTGGATCTATGGATAATGAGGTATAGTTATTAATGTTTTTCCCTTCGTTTTCATCTGTTTTTTCCTCTCAATAAAATTCGAAATAATTTTTTGTACTACTAAAAAGAACCGACTAAATTAAGACAATCGCTTAAATACATAATCTGGCTTTAAAGTTTGTTTTTAATGAAATTGCTAAATATCTTAACTATTCTGTGTACGTGTGTGTGTAAGAAAATGTAATCTAACAAAAGTGACATTTTTACTCTCTTTTATTATTTGCCATGCAATTCATTTATATCTTTTTTAAAAATATATACATTGATAATATATTTCGATAACAATCACTAAAGCTATTTAACTAAACTTAACTGCGTTATTTAGTGTGTAACTGGTTTCTATTGACTAATTTTTTTTCGGTAAATAAAATTTACTTGCTTCGTTTTCAATGGTGATATTTCATTTGTGAAATTGTTATTTCGTTTCAAGGTGTGTTTTGTAATATGCACGTGTCAAATGCTGTCAAATTGCACATTGCTTCTTTCTAATCCTTTTTCATTTTTCTGTAAATCCACGTAAATTAACTTAATCAGAAAGTAAATACTAATTTTTTTTTTCCATCAAATGGGTAACACTCAGTCTATTTTTTTTTTAAAAGAAAAATCTAAAACATTGGATTCGTACTCGTAATAATCTTTTCTTTTCTTTTCTTTGAAACATTGCTTTCTTCATTAATCCCTTCTTCATTTTACATTTTCCTATTCGGGTGATGTTCATCAATACTCATCTGTGTATCCTTTTTGCATCATATTAGCATATCGCCTGATTCTAGTCGTCAGTTACAAAGTATAGACAAATCTAATTTAAATGAAAGAATATCTCGACTACCATCAGCTGGTACAATTCCTATTTATCCTAAACGTATTTCTGCCAATGCAGCTGCATTTTATCAAACACCTCCTATGCAACGTGCCGATTTGACACATGGATTAAATGATACAATTTCATGTGAAATGATCGATCGTCGATCGATGTATAATGACAATTCAACTGAATATTGTTCTACACTTGGACGAAGTGATAGTATGGCATCAACGACGTTGCATTCATCGCTTGGTCGTCGAAATAGATTATATCCAAGATCGAAATCACGTGAAACAATACGTACTTTAACTCAGGTGTGCATATCTTGTGCACTGTTGTTACATTATATAATGTGATAATTGTTTTTTTTGATCAGTGTTTTTGTTAGTTATTTTTTCTCAGTAGAATGTTTAGAAAGTTAGAATTTACTTTGGCTGATGTTATTAATTTGTTTCTTGGCATATTGTTGTAATAAATTATTCCAGGGACAACTGGAAATGATAATAATAATAATAATAATAACAATGATAGCACTACTGTTTCATCACTACAGATAGTTTTGTTTACTTCTCGTTTTGAGCTACATGTTTTATGTGTGTTTATACTGATGTAAGTGAAGCCAAATTCTGACGTGAAACCCACTACTTAAAGGTTGCATATTTCAACTTAAATGATGTGAGGTTATGACAAAGAAATGAAATATTTTTATGAATGTTGCTGACATGATTTTCTTTTTTTTTTTTAAAAAAATGATCATTGAAGGCATATTACTCATGAAATGGAATCATTAAGTTTTTATTTGTAACGAAAAATATTCTAAATTCAATTCGTTTGAAACTTTATGAACAATTCATAGTGTATATATCTCGAAAAGTAAAATACTGTTTCAAATTTAAAACTCTAAGCAATAGGGTACCTTTTTTCGTTATTCTATCCAAATGATGAACTATTTAAGAGGTTGAAATTTTTATTCAATACATAATCAATCAATTTAATGTGTTGCTCATCCTTTATTGTAAATTGGATTGGAGTTGTGAAAGTTGCAATGCAACTAATACTTTAGTAACTCGAATTGTTGTGCATTTTATTTGAATAATAAGTGATTAAGATGAATTTCTATCCTATCAATACTGAGTCAGTTAGTTTTATGTTAAGAGGTAAGCATAATTCGCCTGTATTAATCAGAACTGATGAAGTGTACAATGATTGGTGATAAGTGCTAACTAGATTTAAGGTTTCTTGTTGACCACTTCCCATCAAATAACAAGTTTATTTTGATAATTACTCACTGTGTACAAGTATCATTTTACTGATGTTACTGTTCAAATAAAATCCTATTAAGTGATTTTAATTTTTTTTATATCTAATTATGCTATAAATTAGTTGATTTTTTGGAAGTAAACATTTATAATTTAAGATGATATCAAGTTACATCAACTAAATCATTTAACTATACACGTTTCGAAACTTCTTATGACCATAATTATACATATGTGTTTACGTTAAAGTAAGTTAGTTGAACATCGCACTGGTTTTCTGAAGGAACAAACACCATCTGAACTCTCTATATTCTGGACAAACTAGCAGTTGAACAACTGGGGATAAGTAGGCTTACGCCTACTGCTTTGCTGTAACAGCCACCTATTAGTATCCCTAGAAAATTGGTCTCTCATGATTGACACTATTCAATAGATCATCTCAATTACTATCTTTCACCACTTCATGAATTTCTCCTGAGCTTTCCACATGTTTCGCTCATAAACTTAGTTACTTAATTCACGTATTTATTAGACCGATTATTTACAATTTGTTGGTTTCATAATTATTATTGAAACATCGAAAACACGAAATTCAATAAAGATAATTTCTTTTAATCATCAAACGATATATTCGTATATGTATTTCATAGTTAAAGGAATAATGTCTGTGAAAATGAGTGAAAATCTGGGTAACACTTCCACAGGATGTAAGTAAAAACAGTAAAAGAATGTAAATCTACCTAATTACCAATACATTAAAATAAATAATGTTAACTTATTAAAAATTAGTACCAATATTCTTCTATTAATCAAAAACATCAAAGCATATTAAGGGGAATTAAGCCATATTATACCGGAAATAATTAACTCATAAAAAGTTCAAAAGGATATGAAAAATGCAAATAGTAATGATTAATGTGCAAAGTTCAGCATAAAATCAAAAATAGAACGTATTCCATCCGAATATCGAGCTTCAATCTCCTCTCACAGATACCCAAATGTTTTTTTTTTATTTTACGGTATTAGACATGAAGAAATTTTTATTGATACGATATGGAGTGAGGGTAATGTTTTTCTTTACCGATTTAAGGTTATGCTAGATTTGATAATTTGTTTTAGCAGACCCAAATATTAGTAATATTTGGACACCCGTTTTATTTATGAAGTCTACGAGTTTTTTCTAGAGTTGAATCAAATGAATATATTTCGAGGAGTTGAAATGGTTAGCAATGATTAATTTTTTGTGTACTGATTCAGTTATTTATATAAAAATCATTTTAATTTATTTTGTGAATTATTTTCTTTGTGCTGTTTTAAATGTTTATTTATTTTGGTTTTCAGTAGAATAAATTAAATTCGTTTGACATTGACTCTTGAACTTAATATTTGTTTATTTCTCTGTTTAATGTTGTATTCTTATTACCACTATATGTACTCCGAATCATTAGTTACATGTTTCAAGTCATTTTACGTGAATTTCATTTCGTTCAATTGTCAATGTTATTATTTTCTTACTGAACTTACAGACTTCATTTTTTATGACTAATAATTAAAGTTCATTTATTGTATTAGAAATTGTTAATTACACACATTATAAGTATAAATGTACATACCTAATCAACTTGTGATAGGTATATATATATTCTATGTTATTCTAAAATCTATCTGAAGTAACAATATAACTTACATTTCTTAATTTACTTAAACAAAACTATTTAGTTATTGAATGATAAATATAATGAAGCAGTATACTAAACCGTTGTTGACATATTCAACTGACAGAATAAAATAAGTTATAATTCGATTTTTTTTTTGGTTTTTACATTTGTGTTACTAAAATAGAATAACCAAAATTTTTTTTGTGAATGTAATTTCATGAAACATCTATAATTTATTACGAATAAATATGGATGAATCAAGTGACAAAGCTTTCAGTATAACTTTATTTGAAACAAAATGCAATACAGAGAGATTGTAGAGGCTGTTGATAGGCTTTGAAATTAGCCGGAACACAACCACTAGGTATATATCTACAGTCTCGAGGAAATGGATGCTATCTAGTGAATTTGAATCCTGGTCAATTCATTTTACAATCCGAAACGTTACCGCTGAGCTATTTCAGCACAGACTAAGCTTACATAGGAGTGATCTTTTTGAACTGATTGACCATTGAGTAGTGATTAGAGCTGTGCTTGTCTAGCGGTCGGTGCTCAATGAAATCTATTGATTAATTATGCTATAAATTAGATAATCTTCAATGTCTCCTGATTGTCAATAGTTTTTCAACAGTTTGAAGGTGAAAATCACTTTTAAATTATAGTAATCCTCAAATCATTCAAGCCTATCCCCCATTACTTAGTAATTTTAATAAATACTAAACGATTAAACTACATATTTGTTTCAGCTGACTACATGTAATAACATACTCATTTTGTTTAGGTATATGCTTCATGAGAATATATATATATTATCATGTTCGTTTTTTTGGGAGACCTTACATTTTGGTATATTTGATCTAACTGTATGTATTTATTTTAATTTTAAAAAAAATGATAAAACAGATGGTACTGCTTATTTGTAATATCATATAACTATTTATGTATATAGGTTAATGGGATTCATCGTAGACTAAGCATAAACTAAGCATTTGATTGTATGAAATGAGACAACTCTTTCATTCTTCCATAATCTAAGCTTAACTTTGCAACTAATAAAAAGTAAGCGATTATGAATTTAAAAAAAAGAAGTTACTGTAAACAACGTTATCAGCAGATTAGGAAATGTTTTATTGACTTATGAATTACATAGCTTTGAGTAATATATGTGTTTTATAGGAAACCTAGGAATAATCCCAGGGTAAATTAGTTAATGTTATCGCAGCGAGTTTTAAACTTGTCATCTAATGACTGAAAACTGAATAATTTAATCAGTAAACAGATGCCTAATTTGTTGTAACTTATCATTCATTAATAATAATAAATCTTTAAAATAAACTTAAATGAATCTGTGAATGGTTGAATCGATTGTGGAAGATTTCATTTCCTCTTAATACCAACCATAATGAGTGACTGCTCGACAATTAGTGGTTTATTGTCTGTTTAGTTGACAAATATTATTTGAGGTCATTAATGTTAATCGTTATGTCTTTATTCAGGAGCCTAAAGGATTAGTACTGACTGAGTAACCTGAAGGTTCTGGGTTCAACCCTCAGTTGGGAAGTCTCACACTAGATCAAAACAGTTATCTAGTACATTCTACATTTCAGTAACTGTCAAGTGTAGATCAGTCATTGACGTAAACCGTCAAATCCAACAATAGTCATAAACCACTTCTTATATAAACATTTAATATTTCAGAACCAGTCTCCTGATAATTTTCGTGTTACATTTTTTTTGAATGTTTAATCATATAATTTAGATTAAATGTTGTTGGCATTTAGTAATTATTTTGTTTATCTAATCTTTGAATAGATTGTTTAGTTGAAAATAAAGTCACCAGTTTAAAATGATTTTCAATCGGTCAACCGTAACAAGGTGAAAAAAACAATAGATGAATGATTCCTAAGTAGTAATATAGTTATGTATCATGGTATAAATATTCTTTTAAACAATTACTTACTTTTTGCATAGTATTGATGTGGAAATTCGCTGGAAAGCTCGACAAAATAATTTCATGAGACTGTGATATGTGAATCACAATTATGAAAATCTTGACCATATTTTTTAGACCTAGGCACAACCTCAGATTGTCGATTATTTCGTGCAATTAAAACGAGATGATTTAGTTAAAAGTTCGCTTTGAATGTAAACGAAAGGAACGAAGTTTTACTGAATAATTTTGCCAATTGTAACCCTATTAAAAGGCTTATTTTTGTATCGTTTTTAATGTAAAATGGCGAAATCAACTTTCTGTATGAATATTGACCAATTAAGGCAGTAAATAATTGTAACGATGGCAGAATCTATAAAAGAAGGCTAGGTAGCATTATGTTTTACATTTTACGTAGGAGGCTAAGTGGTTACTACGAAACGTTTTTAATAATCAATCGTCTAAAATTAAATCCAGTCAACAGACATCTAAACCTATTCTCTCTTCATGAATGATATAACTTACAAAGTGAAGCTTCTATCATTATCATAAGTCAGAGTAATGTATATTGGATAGAAACGAAGTTCTCTTTTAATAATTTCTGTATTTCTCACGTTTATTTCAGCGTGATGGTATCACGCCAGCTGGAACACTACAACGTGGTGGCAGTGTTGAAAGTACTTATGCAACTGGATTACGTTCCTCCAGCACTAAACCTATCACTAGACGTACATTAGGATCAAGTATGCTATTCAACTCTGTTAGTTCTCAAAATCCTATAATATCAAACCGAATTTCCACTCTAATGAATTCACAGACTACACTAACACCAGCACTACAAACACCAGCACCACCTGTTACAACAATTGCAACAATACAGATGGAAGTTCCACGACCTCCTGCATTAATTCGATGTGATAATGAACCCAATCGTGTTACTGTCGGGTTGTTAGATTTACAACCACGTTATGAATATGTGACTGTACCGAAGCGTTCGTTACATGCTTATTTGAAGGCGACAGCTGTGAATAATACGGAATTTTCCATCTTGTCTGGGCCAACTAACATCTATGCTGATAATACTTTTATTGGTAAAGTAAGTAATTTATGCCGGTTTTTGTATTAGTGCTACCAGTTTTATTCCTAACACATTCTCTATTTCATTGAGCAAACCCAGTACCATAAGTCATTCTTGAATGGTGGAGATTATTTATGACCAAGGATGAGGATTTTCGGGATGTTTTTTACACTAAGTTGGATGGTTTAATTGTAAAACCTTCGTTGTCCCTCTCAACATGGTCATCAGTATACACTTCAATACGAAGTGAGTCATTAGAACTTTTCCTTTAATTGATTAGCTACTTGTTCTGTTGACTTAGAATTTGGTTGGTTATAATCGATTGATATGTGGCCGTTGTTTGCCTGTTTATTTTGACTTTTTTTTAAATCTTCAAATGAACCTCAGAATTGTATATCGTTTTCCTTACTGGTCAATAGACCGGGTAAATTCCAATATATACAAAGTCCAATACCAGGTCAAAGAAGAAAATAGTCAAAATAAACAGGCAAACAACGGCCACACACCAGTGGATAATAACTAACCAAATTCTAGGCCAACAGAACAAGCAGCTAATCAGTTGTGGAGAAGTTCTAATTACTCACTTCTTATTGAAGTGTATACTGATGATCATTTTGAGAAAGACAATGAAAGTTACACGACTGAACCATCCAGCTCAGTGAATAAAACACCCTCTTGATAGGATAATATTTCAATTATCGACTGAACTCATCTGTGCATGCCATTGCTTTTGTTAATGGATAAATTTTACCTACAAGTGGACAGGATTGTTTGTCACTAAACATTTAGATAAAAGTCACTGTAGATCTATTGAGAATTGTAATAATTAGCACTCTTGATGAATATTAGTCCTTTGGTTATTTGTCACTTTTTTTAAACTTATTTGTAAAGCAATCATATGTCAAAACATTCTACTCTTGTATGAGGTGTGTTTGAACATTTAACACGGCAATCATCATCCAAGTAGTTATGACAATGACTTCAATAATCAATTCGTTACTTTTAGTTTCTACAAAATAAATTCAATATTACTGAATGAAACTTCATTTGTACTAAAACAATATTAATTGTATTCTACAGACGAATGTATCAATTTCTCAAACATTTTCTTCATAGTCTGAAATACGTGCTGTTGCTCCAGGTGAAGAGTTCAATTGTCATTTAGGCGCTGAAAGTGGTATCAAAGTATTATATCGACCATTATTCAAATATCGTGAAGGCACTGGTTCAAGTGGAAAAAATGCCATCATGACATTTAAACAATTAATTGAAGTACGTAATACATTCGATCGTCGTATACGTCTAATGGTTGTTGATCAAGTTCCAGTCAGTGCAGAAGATAAAATTAAAGTGAGAATTTCAGTTTAGATTTTGTTTTATTTTATGCTAAAGGATCTTTCTACTTTTGATGCTTATTTGGTTTCATTCTCATTTTTTTCACTGTCTTTCAAATGCCAACTACTTGTATAATTTTATCAAAACCGCTGATAAAAACCACTATGGTTGAGTGATGTAAGATGAGAATAATGATATGTTTGGTACTTGTGCTGGGGACGTTAGATCCCCAAAACTCACTCGGAAAAGGTCCCAACTGTGTAATTTATTTCTGACATTTTGAATTTCCATGTTTTCGCGCCAGTTAACCTACAGCTTTCATTTCCCATTCGTAAAATCCTTGACTATCATTGGTTGATGGATTATTTTAGTACGATATTTTGTGGCTCTCACAAGGGCGTTTCTATAATTCTGTAAATAATATTGATTTGTGTGCTTAGCAACCTCGTATTTTCTGGGTGCTTGTAAAATACATCCTCTACGCCTTATCAAGACTTCTTGCTTTTGTTAGCGGGACCTGGGACAACGGATTAGAAAAGCCTATCTTGCTACTGAGTCATTGCTCTTCGTTCCGTTAACCAAGTAAGAGGAACTCGTAATAGCATTCAAGTATATCAATCGATGAGCATATCAACTTGAACACTTGACCCTTGATTACTTACAGCTGCATAGTCCCCCAAACTGACATCTACTACATCTGTACCTCGAAATGAAGACAAAAAAACGGAAAGCATAGATAGAAGAAGCTCTACTTATAAGGCCATTACTGTATTTACTTGGTAATCCAAAAGTAGACTAGAATAGTTTTCATTGATTAGCCAATAATAAAATATTTCCTTAATTGTAATGATGACCATAAATAATTAGTATTTTAAAGAGTATCCTCGCGTAAGCCAACTTGTATGTGAATACTGATCTCATTCTATGGATGTGACTTTTTTAAACAGGATAATACAAATTAGAGGAAAATATGCTAGTATTAATAATACAGATGTATTTTATAACTTAAGAGAGTGTTATCAGATTTTTAGGCTTTCTCTTATGATAGATCATTTACAAAGATTTGATCAGATTTCTGTTTCGATTGTTTATGCTAGTTCTTCACTTTTAATTATGAAAAGAATCTCGATTAACTACTAGGGATGATAATAATAATAATAATAGAACTGTGTGTCAAGATATTTTATATAAGTTAAGAAGTATTCTTCTCAATGTACTCCTCTTTGGACATAGATACTCGTCAACAATGTAATATATTTACAATTCTTTTCAGTACTATTTATTCAGATTGTTTTGTATGCTATTTTTTGAAGTTGGTAAACATTGAAGTTAATCGTGTCGACTAAATTTCAGCTAACATTAAACTGTTCAATGTTAAACATTCAAGTACATCTGAGTAAAACTGATAATGATACATGATGTTCTAAACATTCAAAGTATCGACCACTCCCCTAAATCAATATCGAGTTGAATTCACTTCAAACAATTCATATATATCAATACAGATGAGTTGAATAAATTCTAAATATTAACAATAACAATATCATTATCATCATCATCATCATTATTATTATTATTATTATCAGCCATAAAACATAAAACTATTCGACAACTAATACAGTATAAAAGATGTTCTTCAACTTCCGTTCAATACATGATAGTTTCACATTAAATAGACACTATACTGGTCTAGCAATAACAACAACAATAACGAAATAAATAAATTAATCGAAAATCATCAATCGTTTGCAGGTTATGTAATAATCTTGGGCGTATTAAACAGTAATAAGAATAATAATAGTTTATAAAAAGACAAGGCTGATAAGTCCAATACCAGGACGAAACGGCCGTCCAGTACTTCCAGGTTTCTAATGCTGGTCTAACATTGATCGATGCATGATTTCACATGTGTGTAAGAGAGTAATTATCTTGAAGAATAAATTAATAGTTTAATCACTATCGATTTGTAACATATTACAGCTGAGTATGAGGATAAAGATGATAGAATAAACGATTGTGTATGACTCGTTTGTTTACAAAGATCAAATCTGAGTGATTACAGTTAGTAAAGTTTTAATTGTGTACAAGTTTTTAATTTTAAACTTTGTTCAAACAAGTTCGTTTGACTCTGTGAATCATACTAAAGAATGTTTCTTGTCTAGTTGACTATATGTTCGAGAAGTAACTTTTCTTTAAAATAACAAACTATTACTGAATAAGTAAATAAACATAATTAATCTGATTTCGTTTTACTAGATCATTTATTTACCATTTGTATTTTATGCCACAATAGGTTAACCTATTAGAGCCGACAATTAAACATCCAGAAAAATATGATAAAAACAAACCAATCAGAATGAATAAATTCAATAATGTTGAATGGGATTTGGATTTAGGTCCTGGTGAGTTACTTAAACTTGATAATTTTTTTTTCAATAATTGTATTGAAATTAATGTACAATGATTTATTTAATTTCACCTCTAGTTCTCACTATAGATATATGAGTAGGTAAGCCTGATAAATTCTGTTTCGCAGCGTTATGAACAACTAGTTTGCACTTGACTGAACATTGTATAGTTTTTTTTCTCTAGTCCTTTAATGTTGATCAAATTCGACCAATGAAGTTTGGAGGAGGCCACTGCTTTAATTGACGCGAAATCGCGTGGACTACATTTTGTTGTTATGCGGTTAGGTACAGTTGATAGAAAGGTGCGTGAAGTAGGTTTAAATCTCACACAAAATATCAATTCTGTTAAGACTACTGGTTATCTTTTGCTGACGTGAAGCATAGGTCCATTCTGAAATGGTGGAGAAGATTTGTAGCTCAGGTGGATGATTATGGTGGTCAGAGAACCAAACACCACCACCACTACAATAGGTCGATTGTCTCGTGATTAATTTACCTTCGGTCACCTAATGCATCAACTAGTGTTTGCCTATGTGATTTTGCAAAGATATTTTGTATAAATTAAGAATAATTTATGTCGTGAATCGATGTCAGTTTTGGTAATGATAATAAATGTAATAAAGTTCCCTAATGGAAGTCGTGGAGTCCAACAGATGGAGGGTAAGAAAAATAGTTCATTGACAAAACTGGAAAAACAATACTCCTTATCATGAATTGATCATGGTTGAAAACATGAATGATTTATTTTTGACTCACAGATCTTGAATTAGACTATTTAAAGTTGTAAGTGATTGCCGTTGAAGAGCTTCAACAAATAATCCTGTGCAGTTTTTGTCCAACCGACACAACGATAATTTATATTCGTTAATAACTCTAACTCATTCGCCTCTCTCTGTACACTGGTTTTATCATTTCAATATACCATCAGCATGAAACGAGGTCCTGTTTAAATTTTAAAATTTAACTACAATAAACTATTCTTCGGTCGAATTTACTAAACGAAGAAAAATCAAATGGACTATCATGAATATTTTAGCTAGAAATCTTAACGAATAGATGTATTTGGAAAATCTGATACATTAGTGTGATGTATTAGTGTAATTAGCCTAATTATTTACGAAAATAAACACAAACGGACGATAATAATACGGTGTATTGAGATCAATGATCGATATTTAAAAACACTGTCCATAAAATTATGAGTTTCAGTCTGTAGAGCTCTTTAAACCAATGACCTACTGCTTAACTAACACTACAAATGACATCCAACAGTGACTGAAATTCCTAACTCCTGTTGGTCTATGCAGTGTATGTGTATGCACCATAAGCAATAAAAGGAATGTTGTTCACGTCAATAAAAATCATCAATTCTTGTGAATTAAGAAAGTGCAAATCTGAGAAGATCAAGAAAAGAGATTAAGGCGAATTTTTTCGAATTACTTTATTGGAATTTTCAACATATTTTATTATTACATGGATTCTTTTCTTTGACTAGGTGAAATTCGTGAATTAACATTGAAATATTCAGTAGAACATCCAGTCAATGAAGATTTAGATGTTTCTGTTTCGGAAAATTGAAAAAAACAAGCCACAAACTGCAGGAATATCGCATTGTGTTACAAGAATGTAGTTGTGTTTCCGTCGGGTTCAGAACACAAAAAATAATCTGGGAATTCGTTAGACATTGTTTTACAAATCTTTCTCGCATTACTCTATCATTATAATCATTTGATTGTTTGGTAACTAAATTAGTAATAACACTAATACTAATAATAATGATAACTTATTATTATTATTATTAATACTTTTGCTTTATAGCTTTTCTATCAATTTTTTTTCGTTGCTTTTTCGCATTATTTCTAATGAAATAATTTTTTGCTTCAATGATTTTTATTATTACTTAAAATTAAGGGGTCCAGTTTGATCAATACTCTTCATTTCCCTCAATCAACTCTAATTCTTACTAATAACTAACTCATTCTTTTCTTGAAACCCTAAAGACACCGGCACACATATTCACATGCATACTATACAAACTGGGATACAACTAGTCCGCAACTGCCCACACACACACACACACATACGCACACATTTATTGAACTGACAATGGTATACAACAACAACAACAACAACAACAATGGAAGTAACAAAAATGGGGTATGATTGATTTCTAGTGATCACCATCGGTCTAATGATTTGACATATTTGTTCAATTTTCCAATATGGCTTTTAATTTTTTTTTCAATGTTTCATTTCATTTGACTATTTTAAGTATAATAGTATTTTATTTTATATTCTAATATATAAAAAAAATTAAATTTGAATTTTATCTCTTGTTATCTGAATTATTTTAAAGGGTGATTATTAATTACTATTATTACTGATATTATTATTATTATTCATATTATTACTAATATTATTATTATCTGCCACTTTATAATCCATAATTGTGGTATTTTTCATATACTCAGTGAATTGATTAATGAATCTACAATCTTTGGTATTGTGTTCTGTTTGAAAAGACTCATTTGTGTATGTTTTTGCACTGGTGGTAAGTTTGTCAAACGATCTGCATGAACACAACAGACACATACATTCAAGCGATTCGCCACTGTTGACAAGCCATAAACAACAACTATGCATAGTCAGTCAACTCGATTAATTAGACTTTTGTATTTGTCACTTGTATTCTTCGGGTGTGTGTGTGTGTGAGTGTGAGTGTATGTGTTTGTCAGCAAATAAAAATCTGGGAACAAGGATTGAAGCTCTGTCGGTGTTGTTCATGTCTTAATTTATGTTAATTTTGCATTCTTCTTAAAGTTGTGTTGTTTTTTCTTTAAATTACAAAATATTTCAATATTCTGACTATTATGAATATCATTATTATTATTAATATTATTACTATTACTATTACTATTAAAATAATTTATGTTATTATTGTGAACTGCTTTGGAATAAAAATTAACAAACTAATCAATTTGTCTGACAGTTTTCAATTTGTTATTGATTTCTCTGAATGAATAGATCATCCAATAAGAAAACGAAATCTGTCAAAACTATATGGTGTATCTAATAACGCGACACATTTTGAGCAGTAGTAATCTGATCACGAATGAACTTGTTGATAAAACTTAATTGTAACAAAAAAATACAAAAGTTACACTAGACAATTCGGGAAATAAGAACGAACTTCATAAATGAGCATTTTCAACAAACCTCAGTATTTGTCCTGAACAACTTTTATACCAAACCTTTAAAAACTGAATTAAGATAATTCTTACAATCGGTTTCAACTGTGTTTAGAAATGGAGGGTGAATATTTTTAATCTGATGTTGGTAGATCGGTTGGTGTGATTTGTATTTATAGTAATTTCGGTACATGGTCATGATTACAACTCTTTATATGTGTCTATCCACATACATATCTAAAATGTAATATGAACCAGTTATTTTCAACCGCATGAAGCACGAACATTTGACGATTTTTCAATCAATATGTTGCGTTGTTTTTATGGCGTAAAGAAGAATCGGTATTACGGCGGATGATGCATCAAAATTCTAAAAAACAGTATTTCATTTCATTTTAAAATACCAATAGGCTTAACCTCGTTAAAGATCGATGAAACGTATATATTTTTGAATGCAAGAACAGTAATATTATACAACTGGTCAGGAATTAGTGACTGAAATTTCTCCCTACCATCTATCAATTTATCACATGGTTTATGATTAGTTACTTATCCCGCTACCATACACGAAGCAAAGTCTACCAACCAGAAATCTTCAACCAACTGTCCTGGGCTTACCTTTCTAGTTGTTGACAAACGCTAATCATGGCAGCAGTGTCGGCTTCTGATTCCTGGCGCTTTCTGTTCGTTGGTCTGCTTTCCTTTATGACTTCAGCAGTCCAAGTTAGGCCTTGCCTTGTAATCCAGTTTAACGCTTTCCGAAAAATGTGTCCTATCAACGTATAGCACTTCTTAATTTCTTGTTCAGTCATCATCTATTTCACCCACTACCAGAGTGATATTTTGTTGACGAACTATGGTTAATAGATCTGGAGTATCCCCCATGGGCAGATGTTCATGATCAGCGGTACATTTTCGGTAGCGATGGTGATAGAGCCCCACATCTCAGAAGCAAATAACATAAGTATTTTAATTTTAGTTTTGAAAATTCTGACTCTGGTCTTGGTTGGTAGTTGTTATGATTTCAAGATATTTTTCAGGCATAGTGTGGTGCGCGCTACTCATAAGTAGTATATGACGCGAGAGAAAACGTAATGTCTGGCAGCAGGGAAGATCAAGAAAGGAAGAGTGGGAATACAATGGAATTTGTATGAAATGCATGAATAGTGAAATGTCAGGCAATGGATTGATGATGGATTGAAGATCTGCAAATTAACCGTTTACGATATGGTTTTCCTATTTTACTGAGTAACTCTGTAATTTGCGATGAATACAATTCGGTTGCCCTCACCTGTGTTCTCCTTCACTACAATAGGAATACCGCCTTTCTTTTGTCATATACCAGACAGGTCTTGTTTATTGGTCATGCCATTCAAGTCAGTAAATGCACTCCTTTGTATCAAAAAAGATTTCACAATATTTTCTCGTCCATAATGCAGAACAAACAACCAAGGGGGTTGATGTATATTGATGAGTTTCATTCACTTGATTGTTCAACAATAATCTGTAGTGTCGCAATTTCTTTGACACGATCTATCCTTACGAAATTCAGACAGTCAGTTTCGAAGTTAGATGTTTATTGGAATTTTCATTCGCTTCAACAACAGTCTGTTGAAAAATTTGCCTGATACTGATATTAGCGTGAAGTTCGTGTAGTTCCCTCACTTACAAAGATCTTCTTTCTTCTACTTGGCGTCAGAACCCTCATATATTTTGAAGCATCATCAAATTTGTAGTACACGTACATACGTTTTTCAAGGTCAAACTACATTTGGAGCGATACTTTCCAGGCCTTGATTTCAGCGCAAGATCTCTTGATGATGTGTACCCAGTTTTATTAATCAAATTATTTTCCACCTGTCCTTAGAAATGGCGAAAACAGTTTTTGGTGAAAAATTGCATACTACTTATAATATTTGCAGTAGTTTGAGTGAACTCTCAACAGAATATTAGTTTGTAGTTGTGAATTATTTCAAAATAAATGCCAGTAACACTAGGCTAAATGGTACACACAAAAAATTACAATAACAAAAAATAAACCAATGACAGATAAAATGTCTGTGTCAGGTTTCAAAAAGCTTAGGTATTTCATACTTAACAATTATTTCTCTTATCCATGGTACCTATCTACAGGCGAGTATTTTTTTAGACATCCAAACATGTTATATTCATCAGAAGGAATAAATTGTTACTTGTCCGAGTTTTTGGTATAATTGTCAACGTTCTGCTTTGATAGTTCAAAGATGGAGTTAGCTCTCGACTACCATTTTATGTTGCAGTCGTTTTCCAGCTGATGTGAATCCTGTACGAACTGATCTCTGAAATCAATTAGAAATAATTTGAAATAATACCTCTTCTACTATGTTGTTTCGTCTGAATAAACATTCTGACCCGCAACACACTATAACAAAATTAATTACATTTTATATCAAATCCGTGTGAATGTTACTACTTCTAAATAGACGCCAATTTTTTGTTATTATTCTATAGTTTGTTTCTTGATCTTGTGAGTCGACACACTGACCATAATATGCTTTTGAATTCATAAGTTCGGGGTAAGCTTTCTGATAGCTGTGACTTCGGGAAACAGAATTAATTTTGAAGTTGTCTACTGACTGATAACTATGAAACAGCGACTCTACGTCCATTATTCCGTAAACAATATTTGATAGTACTACTGTATTTGATAGTGAACAATGGTAAGAACATTTAGAAATTATTCAACATTGTCAGTGTTACTTCAAAAAAGCTTCATTTTACAGACGCCGTAGCTATCATAAGGCTATTGTTTGTCTGGTATACACCCGATGACCTTACTTTCTAACACTCCTAACTTTGCAGTTGGGATTAAAACTGCATTGTTTTCATACTTTGTTGCTACTAATTTGAGCTTTGATTAATTCAATATCATTGTTAATCTTTTTATTTAGTCATTATGAAATAACTTTTAACAGTGAATTTTTTTCATTAACTTGTCAATATACATTTTAAATTTTTCTCTTTCATGTATACATTACCTTTCATGAACTTTCATCAATGAGGACTTTCCTGATATTACGATCTAGAGTATGTACATTGTTTTATTTTTAGATTATTAGTACTAATATCTTTAAGTTGTAAATGCGTGACAAGAAATAATATTCCACTACAATTTTTGTCAGCGTTTAACTAAAATTTATATAAGTGGCAGCAATTGTACCAACTTTGAATAATTTCTGAAATTGTATTCACAAAGAGATTCAGTAAATGCATAGATGACTAAAATTCGAAAGTCAATGTTAAAACAACAGTTGTAATCCTTTTTTACTTACGCTTGTTACTTCTGATGCGACAGAAATTTCCAGCCTACTCTCTCCCGAGCTCTCCTTTCTAGTTGGTTCCAAGTGCTATTGATTTTTTCAATATCCGTCTCAGTTTCCGGCTAAACGCGTTCTCTAGTCTTCCTCTTTTCCCTTTAAACTGAAGATATCAGCTTGAGACTAGCACCTTGATGCAGTTGGGTAATTTCTAAAATATGTATACAACCAACCTCCAGAACTTAAACCTAATGTCTTCCTCACCTGGGTGAATCTGGTTTGGCTTCCGTGGTTCTTCAAATTTTTACTCCATACAATAGAACTGTCTTGACAATCGGAATGAAAATTGGACTTCGGAATTCAAGATATTCTTCAACTGGAGAACTGCTGCCCATGCTATGTGAATTCTTGTCTTCACATCTACGTCAGATCCACCTTGTTTGTCGAAGGTGCTTCCCAGACATGTAAGCGTTTCACATTTTCCAGAGTTACTCTATCAGTTGTGATTTGACTGGTTTATGTTGTGTTGTATTGGAGGATCTTGCTGCTATACTGACCGTCCTCTTTTGAATTTGGTGCTGTGTGTGATCGAAGAGCCAGATCACCTGCTAATTCCAGAGAGTTCAGCTGCACCCCAGATGTTGACTTCATAATCCAGTTAACCATAAGGAGAAAGAAGGGTGAGAGTAAGTAACCTCGTCTGACACCGGTCTTCCCTTAGAATGAGTGTGAACTGTCCTCCATGCACGATCTTCCGGTTTAATCCATCATAAGAACTGCAAATGATGTTGACTATCTATTCAGGCACGCCATGTTTGCAGCTTTTTCTATGTTTGCCTTCGATGCCTCATCTGGTATGTTGTCTGGTGTTGATACCTTCCCACTCTCTATCTCTCTGGTACCCATTTTGATTTTTTAATCTGTTGGTTGGGTGAAATATATGAGAAGGTCCGTGTGTCTGGTACATTGATATCCCGTGGATTCAGTGTTGCTGATCTACTCAAGATCTTCTTAATCACATTACCTAGTCGTTCAGCTCTTGTTGTTTCTCAATGACACGTCTGCCTTCTTTGGTCGTGACTGGTCACTCTGGTTCGCTGCATTTCTATAAGAAAATAACCCATATACTTACAAACATTAATTCACCAGATTTCTAAGATTGCTTATTGCTTTATCTTTGTTGGAAATTTTAATAAACACATCGATACTCTGTGTAACAGATTGTAGCTGTGACGATTCAGCAATGAAAACCAACAATTCGAAACGAGAATCGCACTTAAATAATTCAATGCTTAATGAACGAGAGAATAAAACTACAATCGTACGTGAACTGAACGTAACAGATTCATCTAAATGGTTGGAACATTAAAAGATAGAAAAAGTTTTGTGTAACTCAAAAATGATTGATAATCATTCGTTACTGAATGTTAGTAAGTAATATATTACAATATGCAAAACAATCTTGAATTATAAGCAAATGACCATAGATGATGCAAGTAGAAATCTGCAAAAAAATATGTCAACTATGCCAACATAGATCCTAAAGCGTTTGGGAGAATTATTTTTAGGATTAATTAAAAACGAATTATTTATACAATCCAAATGGTCAAGTCTAACGTATTATGGTTTGATTCGATTGTACTGTTGAATTACCATATTTTTATT